TGCGTTCAGGACGTTCGCGAATGCCGAGAAGCTGACCAGCATCCCGATCACGGACCTGGACGACCTGCTGGTGAGTTACATGGACCAGCAGATCCGTCGGGGCGTCTCGGCTGCTCGCGGGATGAATCTGATCGCTGGCGTGGTTCACGGCCAGCCGAGAGTGGGCAAGAATGGACCCCCCACCTTGTCACGCAGCTGGAGGGCGCTCAAGGGCTGGCAGAACCTCTGCCCGTCCACATCTCGTTTGCCCGAGGCGTGGCCCATCTGGTGTGCCATCGTGAACGGGCTGGTGCTGCTGGGCCGCTTCGACATGGCGCTGCTCATCTGCCTGATGTGGAGCACCTACGCCAGGCCCATCCAGCTGATGGCCCTGAAGCCCGAGTACCTGTACCCGCCGTCGCGGGTGTCGACCTTCTGGACGGTCCAGCTCAACCCCGAGCCCGAGGGGGTCCCGTCCAAGGCGAAGGAGTTCGACGTGACTATCGAGCTCGACCACGCCTGGTGGTCCCGCCTCGCTCCGATGCTCACGACGCTGAAGAGCTTGCCTGCGGGCCGTCGGGTGTGGTCGTTCACCTACCCGAAGCTGGCGGCGACAGTGGCGAAAGTCGCCAAGGACCTCGGCTTCGACCTGGTGGTGTACCAGGCTCGGCACAGCGGCGCCAGCGCGGACACGGCGTCCCGCAGGCGTACCCTGGCCGAGGTCAAGAAGAGGGGCGGCTGGAAAGCCGATCGGTCGGTGGTGCGGTACGAGAAGGGAGCTCGCCTGGCCAGCACTTGGGCCCGCCACCCGGCCTGGCGCCAGAGTCACGCCGAGCAGTGCGAGGAGAGATTCGTGGAGATCTTGCTGCACGGCCTCACGGTGCCCAGGCCCGCTTCCACCTCCCGTTAGGGGAGCGTCGTCTCTTCGTGCTGATGGTCGGCGACGCTTTCCTGCAGCCGCACCATGTCACGCGGCAGGGTTTCTTGACCAGGAGCCTGGCCGAGCGGGATCTGACCCTTGGTTCCTTGCTCGCGCTGCGCCGTGATTTTCAGGAGTCGCGCATTGCTGCCTTGTTTGTCTCAGTAACCGATTCGGACACGATGATGCGAGCTCGTTCGTTGATCACCCTTGCTGTAAAGTTGAGGCTCCCAGTTATGATTGTGTGCCGTGCCAAGCTAAGTTTAGACGTCGACCGAGCGTTTAGCGAATTGGAGGGTGCTCTCTGTCAGGTTTCGCACATGTGCAGATATGGAGGTCGTGGCAGATTCCCGATTGTGTCGTACATTTTCAATATACAGTCTGCCGACAGTTCTCGCCTAGGCCTCGCGTGCCCTGGCAAGCGTTCCCGTGACAGCCACCAGCCCCACCTCTTTTCGCTTCGCCCCGCCCACCAGATCCCAAAGAGGTTCCAGAGAGCCCTGGCGTTCACGCTGTTAGCTGTCCCTCGTGCTCTGTACCTATCAGTGTGAGAACAGAACCTGTTTTGGGTTTTCTGATTCGGGATGATGTGTGAAGTTTAACTGCGGAGTTCGAACTCCGCTCTGTCTTCCCATCTCGGATCCGAGTCGCTTAGACCAGCGAGTGCAGTAGAGAGAAGTAATCACCGCTAAAAAATATGCATGTAAGTCATGGGGGTGCGTGCACATTAATGACTTAGCGGATTTTGGGATGTCGGTCTCATCACCTCATCGTGTCACTCAGTAGTCGTCTGGGCTCCCCTCCCGCCCAACCCCTTTTGGAGAGGAGCGGTACATGCCTGGATGATGTGTGAAGTTTAACTGCGGAGTTCGAACTCCGCTCTGTCTTCCCATCTCGGATCCGAGTCGCTTAGACCAGCGAGTGCAGTAGAGAGAAGTAATCACCGCTAAAAAATATGCATGTAAGTCAACATCATGAGCATCATCTTTATCATCATCATCATCATCATCATCATCATCATCATCATCATCATCATCATGTTCATCATCAGCAACAGCATCATCATCATCAGCACCATCATCAGCAGCATCAGCATGGTCGTCAACATCATCATCATTATCAGCAGCAGCATCATCATCACCATCGTCACTAACATCATCGTCAGCATCGTCGGCACCATCATCAGTATCCGCATCGCCGTCATCATCAGCAGCAGCATCCTCATCATCATCATCATCATCATCACCACCACCACCGTCATCATCATCATCATCATCATCATCACCATCGGCATCAGCAGCAGCAGAAGCAGCAGCCGCATCATCAGCATCATCAGAATCCCCCGTGCTAAATCCTCCTCCTCCTCATCCTTCTCCTCGTCCTCCTCGTCATCATCATCATTATCATCATCATCATCATCATCATCATCATCATCATCATCATCATCATCATCATCATCATCATCATCATCATCATCGGCAGCAGCATCATCATCCCTCCTCCTCCTCCTCCTCCTCCTCCTCCTCCTCCTCCTCCTCCCCCTCCTCCTCCTCCTCCGTGCCTCGTCTTTCCCCTCCTCCCGGCCTCGTCCTCCTCCTCCTCCTCCTCCTATTCCTCTTCCTCCCCCTTCTCCTCCTCCTCCTCCTCCTCCTCCTCTCCTCCTCCTCCTCCTCCTCCTCCTCCTCCGCCTCCACAGTCTGCTCCTCCTCCTTCTCTTCCTCCTCCTTCTCCTCCTCCTCCTCATCCTCCTCCTCCCCGTCCGCTTCCTATTCAGCATCCATCCTCTTCCCTCGTCCCCGCGTCCTCCTGCCTCTTCTCCTCATCCTCCCTCTTCATACCGGTCCCCTCGGCTGGGCAGGCCCTGGCCAGACGAGGGAGCGCTGCCGAGGTCGTGCAACCCCTCCTCATCAGAAAATGATGTAAGCGGCCGACCCGTCTGGCCAGGCCCTGATCTTGGGAGGAGGAGGAGAAAAAGGAGGAGAAAGAGAGCAGGACGAGGAGAAGGAAGAGGTTCGGAGGAGCAGGACGAGCAAGGGAGAAGGCGGAGGAGGAGGAGGAGGAGGAGGAGAAACGGCAGCAGTAGGCAGCATAATGACGAGGAGGGGGATGAGGTGGAGGTCGGGGAGACGGGGAGGGAGAAGGAGAGGGACGAGGGGGGCGAGGAGGAGGAGGAGGTGGAGGAGGAGGAGGAGGGTGAGGAGGACCAGAGTCAACCCGGCACGCACAACAGATGTTGCCATGACCCCTGCCGTTCCAAGTGCCCTCGCCGTCAGTCCGTACGCGCTGCCGTTGGCACCACGTGCAGGCAGCGCCCGCCCGCCGGAGCGGCGACGGCCTCGCTGACAGACATGCATGTATGAGGGTCGGAGATGTAAGGGGTGGCGGGCCCTCAACATGTACGTTTCGCAAACGCAGGCCCGCGGGCGCGCCTTCGGCGCGAGGCCCGACAGTCGGGCATTGAAGCTCAGCTGTTGTACTTCCTGGCGCGTTTCAGTCGAGATGGCGCGCCTCGGGCGCTTGTGCATGATGCATGCTGAGATCCCCGTGTGCATCGGAGTGTGCCTCGAGGATCGCAGGTCAAGATCCGACCGCGCACGCAACTTCCAAAGCGCAACGAGCTCAATCATACATGTGATGATTTGTATATATAGACACGTGTCTATACAAATCAATACATACATGTGTACACATATATATATATATATATAGACACGCAACATACAGGGAACCGAACTCTATACACCGACGCTTGTTTCTGGCCCTGTACCGAAACTCGTACAGGAAGCGGATCCGTGTGTTAACGGCATCCTGGCGTATACATGTTTCGTTGTTTCTCCGGGAAAGCAGGGAAAAAATGTTTACATTACACCACCCCGACGTCGTCCCCGACCCTCCAAAAGTCTTGGGTTTGACAAACAGCCCGCCACTGGTAACGTATATGCGCCAGCCTCCGAACAGAACTGGCTCGTTGGGAAACGAGTGCTAAGCGCTGCATCGAGAGCACGCTGTTGAAAAGGAATCGCCCTTCACCCGTGCACGTTTCTGGAAAAACAGGCAGCTCGGGATCTGACAGGCGAGAGTCACTTTTGAAAAGGTCCACTCTCCGTATGTGTGTGCAGCTGCTGTGCCACGATCCAGTAACAGAAACATGAGAAAGTCTCAAGCGAGAGTCGAATTTTGAAGACGATCTGCCCTCAATTTGAGTGTTTGTGGGAAATGTTGAAGCAAATGCGCGCGGCGCTAAAGCGAGAATCAAATATTAAAAACCATCGGGCCCAAGCCGTGTAAGTTGTTGAGAATTCGAAGGCGAATGCGCTCACGGTTGATTGGACGGCCACATTTTTAGAATTGACCGCCCTGAATCGCGCAATTGCTAGCAGCAATTGGTGGATGGCCACGTTTTGGAAGCCACCCACCCTCCATCCGCAACAGCTGCTGGAAACGCGTCAGATGAGTGCGCGCGACATCGGGGCGAGAGCCGTTGCTTGAAGACCACCCGCGTACATGTTCGAAAGTTCCCGCTGTGTTGCGATAAGATGCGGGGCAGTCTGAAGCGACACGCCTGGCCTGCCCGATCGACATGTCTAGCATCGCGGCAAGAGGAGATCTTTACCCGGAGTAGAAATGGCGGGGGGGTGCTAGGAGGATGGACGGGGGGGATGAGAGAGAGAGAGAACAACAACAAAAAACGATAGAGAGAGAGAGAGAGAAAACAAAAAAAAAAAAAGGAGGAAGTGGGGAACGATGAGAGACAGAAAGAGGCGGAGGAGGAGGAGCAGGAGGAGAAGGAGGAGGAGGAGGAGCAGGAGGAGGAACGGAAGGGAGAGGAGATGGCGTATAAGGAGGAGGAGCAGCAGCAGCAGGAGGAGAAGGAGGAGTGGAGAGCGGAAGGGGGGGGGGCAGGAGGAGAAAAATGAGGGGGAGGTGGAGGAGGAGGGGACGAAGGAAGAGGCGAGGGGCAGGAGGAGGAGGGAGGCGTGGCAGGAAGGTGGTAGGGGCAGGAGGAGCAGCAGCAGCGGCACTCGGCCCGGGCCTGCTCCAGATCCCCCTTGGGCCCCTCGAGTGGCCGGGCGGACGCGACTCGCCACCGCGCACGAGCGCCATGGCCGAGGCGGCCGCCAACGGCTTCGGTAAGGCCGAGGCGCCTGCGAAGCCCACAGCGCCTGGGCCGTACACCCCGACCATCGACCAGGTCGGGGAGACGTCCAAGAGGGGGGTTCTGGTCATCTAGGCCTCCTAGATGGGATCGGAGTAGATGGGGTCGGAGGGTCGCGCCGCATCGCCGATGCATCTGCGATGCGGCTCGACGTGCAGCCCGACTTGCTTCACGTCGACGTCGCCGATGCATCGCCGATGTATCGGCGATGCGGCGCGATCCTCTGACCCCATCTACGCCGACCCCATCTAGGAGGCCTCTGGTCAGGAATTTTGGCTCATCGTGTCGCACCGCTTGTTCTGGCCCACCGCGCTTCGGCGCGACACGCGATCCACGCTCCCATCTCTGAGCGTCAAGGTATCCTCCTTTCCGAGCCTCCCTCCCCCGCGGAGCGGAGCGACACGCCATCCGCTCGCAGGACATAGCATGTCGCCGAGGCCGCCGCGGCGACACGCTGAACAAGAGTTCCAGACCTCAGGACTAGGGGGGCATCATGGCTGGAGCCACGAGATATCTCTGATGTCATGGCTTTCTGTTCTTCTCTCGGCGGCGAGTGAGGCGGGAAGTGAGAAGGAGAAGGCCTTCTCAGAAGGTTCGGGAGTCCCCCGGCGTTCCGAGAAGTCTTCTAAGCCTTCCCCGAAGACAAAAAAAAACATTCAGAAGGCGCGAGGGCTGCTGAGAAGCCCCGCCGCCTTCTGAGAAGGCCTTCTCCTTCTCACTTCCCCCCTCGCTCGCCGCTGCATTTGATTTCCGGGTTCTAACTCGGATCTCCAGCGGGCGTTCGGGACGATTCGGGCATCCCCAGAACGCCCTCGGCGAGGCGCAGCTGCTGGCAAGCACCCCGAGGCTGGAAAACTGCCGAGAACCGACGAAAACGCACGAAACCTAGAACCTCGAACTTCCAACCCCGAAGTTCACCCCCGCGCTCGCCGGCAGCCTTCCACCCTCCCCCTACCCGCCTCTGCGCGCCGCCAATCGTCGGCGCACCCGATCAGGAGAAGAGGGCGCTCCAGAACAAGTTGTGGGAGCTGCAGAAGTCTGGTATCGATGCCAAGGCGAAGTGGTGGAGCTTCTGCAAGATCCACGCGGAGGGGAACACCGATCCGAAGAATCACGACGTCGCCTTCTTGCAGACCTTCTTCGAGTCGTACGAGGCTGGCGACATAGGAATTGAGGAAGGCTGCCCTTTCACAGCGGCGAAAGGTGGAAAGGATTCTGGCAAGGGATGGGGCAAAGACGGCGGCAAGGCGGGAGGCAAGGATGGCGGCAAGGGATGGGGCAAGGACTCTGGCAAGGGTTTTGGCAAGGACTCTGGCAAGGGATGGGGCAAGGACTCTGGCAAGGGTTTTGGCAAGGATTCTGGCAAGGGTGGCAAGGGTGGCAAGGGCGATAAGGGTGGCAAGAGTGGCGGTGGCAAGCCTAATGACTGCAAGATCTTCGTGGGAGGTGTCCCGAAGGGCGCGACCGAGGATGAGTTAAAAGCCCACTTCACATACTACGGAACCGTTGTGGAGTGCAGCATGAAGTACGACGATTGGGGTGGATTCCGAGGCTTCGCCTTCGTGGTATTCGATAACGCTGCGTCCGCACAGGCCGTGCTCGCAGATGCTGCCAACCAGACTTTCAAAGGGAAGTGGATCGACTGCAAGAACCCCGCCAGCAACACTGGGGACAAGGGCGGCTCCAAGGGCGGCGACAAGGGCGGGAAGTTCGACAAGGGCAAGGGCGGCGGGAAGTTCGACAAGGGCGGCAAGGGCGGCGGAAAGTTCGACAAGGGCGGCAAAGGCGGCGGCAAGTTCGACAAGGGCGGCAAGGGCGGGAAGGGCGGCGGCTGGGGAGGCGGCAAGTGGTGAGCGGCGTAATGGCTGTCGAGCGCGCTTCGGGAGGCCACGGCCGACACCGCCAGGAGGCGACCAGGCCCACCTCGCACCAGGGGCGGACGGCTCAAAGCGCCCCGCGACGTCCCGATGGGGGGAGGGGGGATTAGGACGAGAAGGAGGGGGAATTGAAGGAGGAGGAGGAGGAGGAGGAGGAGGAGGAGGCGGAGGCGGAGAGGAGGGTGAAGAGGGAGAAGGGGGAGGCTGAGGTGATACACCTCACGCTACAGCCTGCGCGGTCGAAACCCGCACAACGTAAAGAGGAAGACGAGAAGGGGGGGAAAGGAGCGGAGGAGGAGGAGGAGGAGGAGAACGGGGATGGGAAAGGAGGAGGAGGAGGAGCAGGAGGAGGAGGAGGAGGAGAGGAGGAGAAGAGGAAAAGAGGAGAAGAGGGGTGAGAAGAGGGAGGAGAAGAGGGAGGGAAGAGGAGGAGAAGGGGAGAGAGAGAGGAGGAGAGAGGAGGGGGGAGGAGAAGGGGGAGGAGGAAGGAGGAGGAGGAGGAGGAGGAGGAGGAGGAGGAGGAAGAGGAGGAGGAGGAGGAGGAGGAGGAGCAGGAGCAGGAGGAGGAGGAGGAGGAGGAGGAGGAGGAGGAGAGGGGAAAGGAACATGCAGGGCCTGCGGCGGTGGCACCAGTGGTTCTGTGGGAGGTCCTGGAAGCAATGATGCGATGGAATCCGGATAGGAGGACCGCGGGGCGAACGGAGTCTTCCCAAGGGCCTCTGTCACACCGATCTGTCCGGGGAGGGGCTGGCACGCGGATCCGTGGGGGGAGGGGGGGGGCGTCCAGCGGAGAAGCAGGGGAGCCGAACCCCGCTGCAGTGCAGAGGCGTGCGGGCCCAAGAAGTCGAAGGATCGCAGCGGCACTCCCGTCGGTGCGACGAGCGCGGCTCACTTGAAGGAACAGGGGGGGTAGCTGGGGGGAGGGGGAGGGACAGGAGTCACAGAGAGCTTGTTGAACCCACACACTTTTCCTTCGCCAGCGATATGACACCACGGTCGCGATAAAGTAATGACGGGACAAGTCAGTGCTAGTTGCACCCATCGCTGTGGATGAACGCTGGCTTGCCGAGGGAACGGCACCAGGTTGGGACCCCGACCGTTACGTGTGCAAGGAAAGGCAAGGGTACACACACACACTCACACACACACACACACACACACACACACACACACACACACACACACACACACACACGCACCTACACACAGGCTTCTTGTTTCAAGCATTCCACCTGGCTCCCTCTGGCAGGACGGCCGGGCCGCTCTGAACAAGGAAAAGCAGGGAGAGGACAAGGAGGAGGGGGAGGCTGTGTTCGGAGCTGACGCACACGCCTCGCGCACTCCAGATTTTGACGGCAGCCCGGAAATTAGACGGTATGAATGTGGGGCATGTATCACCTTGCAGAGGGCCGAATTGGAGTCAGACCTCCTTGGCCTTCGCATTCGCCGCATGAGCTACACGGCTCCATCAGATGCTACGCTTCAAATGTGCTCGTCTTGACGAACAGATTGGCCATCTTCGCCGTCGCCACCGTCATCCCGCGATCCTCGTCTAATTGATTGCCAGCGTCGTCATCGTCGTGCTGGTAGGCAAGATTCGACGTCGCCTCACCCTCGTCACTTCTCACCGTGTCGTTGTTTCACCTTCTTGCAACATGGCGCTATCGCTCGGCTGCACACGTTCGTCCGCTCTTATCCACACTCTTCGTATATGTCTGGCAGCTCTTCCTCATTGCCTCACCGACCTCACTAATTTCCCATCGATTCTCAAACAGCGTTTGCTCTTGGGGGTGTTTACCTTTCTTTCAACATGATTGGGCGGGTGCGTCGAGGATTCGCCACGTTCTTGCCCGTTGCCGCCCGTTGCTGCTTCTGCGGATGCGTCGAGGACTCGCCTTGTTCCCGCCCGTTACAGCCCGTAGCCGCTTGGGTGGGTGCGTCGAGGACTCGCCACGTGCTAACCCGTTGCGCCTCGTTGCCGCTTGTGTGGCAGCGTCGAGGATGCGCCACGTTCTGGCCCGCTGCTGGCCGTTACCCTTGTTGCCGCTTGGGTGGCAGTGTCGAGGATTCGGCACGTGATTCCCCAAACAGCGCTTGCAGTTCGGACGGGCTTTCATTTTGTCTTACCGAACTGTCTGGGTGTTCTGGGCTTTCTCCCACGCTGCCGCCCGCGTCGCCCCGAGCGCGTCTCTTTAGGCGCCTCATGTGCGCCACACGCGCCTGAGGGGTGTGCCGCGGCTGCGCCACGCTGCCGCCCGTGGGCGCCTCGTGGGCACCCCGCGCTTGGGGAGTAGTTTGCTCAGGCTGCGCCACGTTGCCGCCCGCGCTACCTCGTGGGCGCCTCGTGGGCCCCCCGCGCTTGGGGAGCTTGCCCAGGCTGCGCCACGCTGCCGCCCGTGACGCGTCATGGGCGCCTCATGGGCGCCCCGCGCTCGGAGCGTACTGCAGATGTCACATGTCATAGCTCACACCACCTAGCTTACACCGCATAGCTTACACCGCATAGCTTTCAGCGTACATCTTTCACCGCCTGGCTTTCACGCCTCCACACTGCCACAATGCGCAGCTTGAGATTTACGCTGGCTGCCCTCATCCTAGAGGCTAGAACTACGTACCCCGTCACCTCCCCCCTGCCCACCCCCCATGATTCTCAAGTGCCTCACTTCCCCCCCCGGTCTCTCTCTCCCCGTCTCTTTTCCAGTCCCTATCTCTCCCTCGCATCTTTCCCCCACCCTCTGCCCCTCCACTGCGCCCCATACATTATATCATCACCCTCCTCCCAATCCCCTTCTCTGCCATCCCTCTCCATTGCTCCCCGCTCGTCGCTGGGGACACCCAGCGAGAGATCACTTCTCGGTCGACAGGGTGCCACATGTCCCTCTCTCTCTCTCTCTCTCTAGCTCTCTCTCCCCCTACATGTGTGTATATGTACGGATGTGTGTGTGTGTGTGTCTCTCGCTTTCTCTCTCATTGTTGCCGTCTTGCGCGGCGCGACCCGAAACGAAGCGTGCTACTCTCGAGCTCACGGTCTGCCCAACGAGGACCCCTCGTAGAACTCCCGGCGGGCTCCAAGAAGCTTCAAAATTGACGACCAGAGCTGGGAGGCGTTGAGGGAAGAGGAGGTGAATGGTTTCATCTCAACGGCTGCATGCCCTCAATCAAGAGGACCTAGGTGAGGGAAGAAATCTTGCATTACTCTCCCTCTTGATTTGCAGAGTCCTCCTTGCACTCTCCTCCTTATCCTCCTCCTCCTCCTCCTCCTCCTCCTCCTCCTCCTCCTCCTCCTCCTCCTCCTCCTCCTCCTCCTCCTCCTGCACGGAATTCAAACTGTAGAATAAGTAGCCCCCCCAGCAACAGTTTGGGGTCTCGGGCCTTCCGTCTCTCCCCCCTCTCCTCCTTTTGAGGTCGTGCCGTCGTCTCCTCCCCCCCCTGGCTTGGGCGCCCTGCTAAGCCCGCGCGTCCCCTCCCTTAGGGCACGCGGAAGGGCCAGCAGCCGCTCCTCCCGAACTGACCTGAAGGGACTCGTGTTGTAATGTAGCGAGCCTCTCTTACGGGGCCACCTCGGAGCTCGGTCCTTGAATTACGTGGCATGCCCCCCGCCGGCCCTAGTGAGAAGGCAGGGCTGTAGCACAACAAATCCCAGGGGATTTTGACAGTAGCGCGTAGGTCACCTGAGTGTTACCTAACGACGGGCCTCACCAGGGAGTGGCCCTGCACGAGTGGTTCATCCTTCTGCAGTTCATGGCCGTTCCCCCAGCAGACTCGAGTCGCATCTGCCTCTGTCAGCGCTTGCAACGTTGCACCCCCGAACCGCGTGAGTCGGATACGTTGTGTACGCACTGGCCACAGGCTGGAGATGGCGATACCTCGTGTTCGCTGACTGGGTCGCCTTCCATCTCACGTGCAAGGGCGGGCTTTAGCCGAGTTCTGCGACAGTGAGCCATGGTGAGTGAGGCCGCTCTCTGTGCCGCCTTTCCTTCTCTTGCTGACGCTGTGTGCCTCGTCTGACGTCCGCAGCGGCTATCTTGCCTCCCTCTCGGCCTCGCTTCCGTGTGTCGGACGGCCGGAGATTGGCGCCGTCAGGGCGACTTCTCCCTGCTGCTACAGTACACATGGCCTCGCCGTTCAGCCGTTGCCGCCGCTCGCTGCGACGTGGCGCCCAACCCGCTGGGGCGTCGTTGGCCTCGCACGTTGCGACGTGGCGCCCCCCACCCGCCGGGACGTCGGCGTCGGTCTACGGTGCTTAATTTGGGTCATTTTGTCCCTTGCATGTGCACGCGCCTCTTCGGCGAATTATCTTCGTTCAGCGCCCCGTTCGACGCACCGTTTCCTGACCTCCGCCTGGGAGCCGCCAACCAAAAAAGTAGGTCACCTGAGTAGGTGCTCTGACGTTGTACCCGTTATGCGGATGTCCTGTCCTCGTCCTCCTCCTTCTCTTCCTCCTTTTCCTCCTCTTCCTCTTCCTTTTCCTCTTCCTCCTCATCATCATCATCATCACCATCATCATCATCATCGTCCTCGTCCTCCTCCTCCTCCTCCTTCTCGTCCTCCTCCTCCACAATTGAACAATATGAACACTACTCTCCTCTCTCCCCTAGTGGCGTCGGGGAAATGTCCGGCCCCCGTCCGCGCAATGGTTTTTCACACAGGATTTGGGGGGGGTCGTTTGTTTTGTTTCAAAATGCTGCTCTCGCTGGAGCGTTGGCTTCATTTTCGGGCTACCGTTCATTCCGAATTTTGCTCCCGCTGCAGCACTGGCCTCGTGTCCGCGCTTCCGCTCGTTTCGAATCGTGCTCCCGCACAGCGCTGGCGTCATTATTTCCAGCGCTTTGATCTAGAAAACGGCCTCCCGAAAAAGACATCGGAAGTGATTACACATTCGGTGTCGATTCGTTTATGTCTTGGGGCCGCAGAAGCCCCCCACTTTAAGACGTCGCCACGTCATGATATGCCATGTACCGCTATGCCATGTTGCG